GCTTTGTTAGTAAGATCATTTTTGCCTTATTGGATGAATATCTTCGTTATTGAAGATCTTCAATCAATTGAAGTTTATTGACTTCAATTGTATCGCAAAAGATTTGAATGGCATATGAATCATATTGAAGGAGTCTAAAATATATCTTGACATAACCGAACTTCCTTGATTCCTTGTTTAAAGCCATACTTCAATCTTCTTGATAGCTTTCCATGTACTTACGTTGGAGATAGTAAATGATTACTATTTCCTTCTTTGACTCACAACAGATTCTTTTCTCTACTAAATATGAGACTTCTTTTATTTGTTGCCTCGATAACTTCTTTGTCTGGATCTTCTTTTCCTTAGTTATGAGATCTTGGATTGACCCTTCCTTTAATAGCCTTGTGTAAGAATCTTCTTTGTCTTCAAATTATTTTTCTTAGATAGTAAATAATTTTTCTTGAACAAATAATTTTCCTTCAACGAAGATATTTCTTTGATAGACTTGAACTCTGTAGTATCGATCCTTGTATGTTTTCTTTCTATTTGAGCACCCATAATATATTATTTGATATCTCATATTTTCATAACTCTTGCCGCCTTTCATTGTCGATAACCCATAAGACTAGTCTTCTAGCTGTAGCTCCTTATTATGGAATAATCTTGGCTAATCCTTCTTTATTCTTTGATGAACTTGGACCTTTTCATGTGCACTACATGAATTTGGCATTCCCTTAATTTAGGGGTAATTTTCTTTCCTTCAGAGAGTAGGTACTGGAAAGTTTTCCAAGTCTTCTTTGGACTTGATATTAATTGCTCCATATGGTGATGCCTTGTATCACTAGTAGATATTCCCCATCCTTTTGATAGTCACAATATTCCTTCATCAACGTAGCACATTTCCTTATTGAAATATTCCATGTTATCTCCTTCAATCTTTTATTTCTTTCCTTTTGTTTTTCTTGTACCATTTTTCTAAAGATCTTCTATAATTCTTTTCCATCTTCTTTGATATATTTTGAAACTTTCTTCTAGCAAGGTAAATCATCCCAATAAATCTCAATAATATCCTCTATCAAAGAATGTGCATTGTAGATATTTCCTTCCTCAGATTGTAGTAAATCAACCATCATTCATTCATCTGCTTTTCATAATAAACCTATAAAATGAATTTATCACAAGTAAATATTCTTTGATTAAACCTTATGTTGGTTTGGTATCATCAAAATTAGTGTATGAAACCTTGGGACTAACAAAACTTAGTTCGAGAGAAAATTGTTGGGTGTGCGAACAAAGTCTTAAAAAAATTGGGAGCCTACATATAAGGTGTAAGGATCTCTTAATGGTGTGGAGCATTTTGTAGAAAATCTTATGGGTTTGGCCCAATGCGAGCAAGTATCGCACCATGGTAAGAATGTTATTGGGTCGTTTTAGCCCAACATGAGTAAGGGATCGGAAACACAAATCGATGCAAGTATATGTGTCTAATCGGCCTATATATAATTAAGAGATTTTTACATTCATATACACTATATGAAACTATATTACCCTCCCTACTCAAGTTTTACTATAATTACATTTTATATACCCAATTACCATTTATGTACATTTTAACTATAGTGTCGCTGGCAGCAATGTCAACGTCAATATTGACAATGTTTTTTCTCTTTTGAGTGTCTACCCTCAGCCTTTCTTCTGCCTCTTCAGATGTGCAACTCAACGTCTCTACTTGCTGGTGTTGCTCAGACATCATAGCTTTAGCGTCTGCGACAAGTGATGCATCTCAATCCTTAATTTCAATAATGTAAAGCAAAGAAAAAGAGAGCAGCAATTCCACCATTGACAACCATTAAAAAGCTCTGAAACTTTGAATTCGAATTTGGATTTTCAAAAATCATTATTTGTTTGGATTGGGTGTTGTTGCAAACAATTAGGAATATGGTTTGGAGTTTATATCTCAATTTTGAGGAGTTTTGGTGAAGAATACACTTGGTTTTGGTTGAATTTCAGATTGAAACTCGAAGAAGAGGACATGATGTACATTATATTTACGAAATTGTAGTAAAATTGTAGAAAAATTATATTTTGTTGTTTATATATTTTTCTTTTATTTATTTAACTATTGTATGAAAGTTGAACAACATTGTATAAAAATTATATTTAAGTTGTATGATATTGTAGTTGTATATAACTGAGTAAAAATAATGTATAAAAATTGTAGATAAATTGTAGATAAGTTGTATAATATATAATTAGTAGTATGAAATTTATTTTTACTATGTATAAATTAGATACCAAATATACAAAAGACATGTTGTATAAAATTTGTATTTAAGTTGTATGTTATTGTAGTTGTATTTAACTTGGTAGAAATAATGTGTGAAAGTTGTAGATAAATTGTATAATATATAATTAGTTGTATGAAATTTGTTTTTGCTATGTATAAATCAGATACATAATATACAAAAGAAATATTGTATAAATTTTGTATAAAATTTGCATTTAAGTTGTATGTTATTGTAGTTGTATATTTAACTGGATATCTTTAAAGACTTGCACAGAAATATTTTTTCCTTAGAAAAAACTTCTACTGTACAAATTGGTTGGATCATCAATCGAATGCAGATTTAACTTTACACGCGAATTGTCTGAAAATAGAGAACTATATGTTTGATCTCTTTATATTTTTGAACTGGGGAGTTGCTTCCTTAGACATTCTGAGCTCAAACAGAGAGCTCATTACTCTTTGAATCTGAAATTAATATGTAAATAGTGGGCTGCCCTTTTTGTTTCTGCTTTCTCTCTGCATATCAAGGAAATTACACAACATTAACAGATAGTTTCCATTTGAGCAATTACATCAATATTTTTATTTTGAGATCTTATCTCTTAATCACACACACATCAATTCAAGTGATTCGTCATGCAAAGAAGAGGTTGCAATGCCCTTAGAAAAATAAGAAACTCGTAGCATAAATAAAGGAGTCCACACTCTGTCATCAGAGGAAACTGAATGTTGTAATTCTTAAATTCAGTGAATTGGTCAGATATTGATTCAGCTAAGTGTTCCATTTTATTAGTTTACACAGATCAATTCTGAAGATGCAAACTGAATAGACTAAACTTGTGGAGATTTTTGATTTATCATGATTCGGTTTTGAGATCTGCATGAGTGTATTCAGATTAATATAGTGCATCAGAAAAATAAGGAAAGAGAAGAAGAGAAAAAAAAAGTAAATGGTGTAACTAAATCCCTTAATTGAAGGCACTAATAATGGATTTGGAGCCTTTTAAGGTGAAATGTATATATTTTTAAAAAAAACTTGTGTAGGTAGGGTAATTTACTAAACATGAACATTTAGGGTAATAAAGTTTCCAATAATGTATAGGAATAAAATAGCTTTTATTTTATTATAACCTCAAATCGTTTTTACTCCAATTCTGCTACTTTTCTAGCAGATCAGCATGTACCTAAACTATAAACTTGATTGTTCTTGTTATATGATTGAAAAACGAAGGAGATCAACTGCTCTATTGATGGTAAAAGTAGCAACACTTGCAAATGCTAATACTTCCTCTGTTTCAAATTAGATGAGGTACTTTCCTTTTTAGTCTGTTCCAAAATAAATGACATATTTTTATAACTACACAAATGTCATGGCCCCACAAATTTTTTACCCCTTAAGCTTTTAAGACCACAAGTTTCAAAAGTCTACTTTTTTTTTCATAAACTACGTACCTTGTCAAACTACCTCATCTAATTTGAAAAGGAGGAGCAGTACATTATATTCTTGAAAGCTAGTACTATTAAATAAGATGATTAATTTAATCGAAGTTAAATGTCCCCAAGACGTGAGCTGTATGCCAGCTTCATTATTCTTCTTTTCCAACAAATTTTAGAAATCTTTTGAAGCTAACTTTATCATTAACATCCAATCAGCACCTACTCGCTTCAACCCCCCCCCCCCCCCACCACACACACAAAAAAAAAAAATTAATTTCCCTTTCATTCTCTCAACTCCATTTCTTCCTATGAATGACAACATAGGTCAAATTATTCAGAAGGAATATGAAGAGTTGAACACCCAAGGGGGTTAAACAAGAAAATCTTACTCGAACTCAATTTCTACACCAAGTCATATTAGTTAATCTTAGTTAAGTGATAATTAGTTAAGTATAATGTAGCTAAGTGATAGAACATTGTGTGTATCTTTTTTTTTTTTTTTTTTCCAGTTAAGGAGGTAGCCAATACTATGATTCTTAGTAGAGGCACACTAGGCTATGGACAAAGTGTGTAGGAATTTAATTACTGCATTTCGCGTTTCACTTTTCTTTTCATTTTTATGGATGAAAATAAAAAATAAAAAATGTATAATATAATACGTCTAATCTTAAAGAGGACTGAACAAAAGACAAAATACAAAGAGCCCCTAGGTTTCACGTGGGTTGCTCGTATTATGAGTACTCCCACAACGGCGAGCACGTTACTACGTACTCAGTTATTCATCACGTTAAACAACAAAAAGCCATTGTATCATAATTCGTTTATCATTCAAAACCATGTATATTTATAATGTACAACAGATAATGGACAAACATGCTTAATTTTTTTGCAATTTCCACTATTCTATTAGCAATGATCAAGCTTTAATTAAAAAACATTAAGTACAAAACAATTGTACACATTAATCATTTTTTGTCTCTTTCCTGGTTGCTTTGCTGCACAAAACTTTGCCATTTCTACAGTCTCTCTGTTCTTGGTTTTTCACTCCGATTCAAAACCTGGGATGACTCTACGGCGAATCAACTCGTCCACCTTCTTGCCATCTCCAATCACATTCTCCGAACAGAATTTAAGTAGTAGTAGGTTTGGCCGTCTGGGCACATCCACTTGTGCTCAACTTGAACTTAACATATATAATTGAGAAATTTTCGGGAAAATATGTATATTTATACTAAAACTGTACCTATTCAAGAACTTAAAATCTTGATCCGTCTTTTGCTCGAAGTGTCTTATGCTAATGCAAAAGGGGTCTAGAATCACCCCAAAAATCAAGGTTGCTTCGGATATCCATGTAACAATATCTTTGAAAATCTTCAAAGTTCATGAACCGTGACATATTATTGTTAACGGAGTCGAATCGAGCCAAGTAACGGAGCAACTCTTCAAACAAAGATTCATCACAAGGAATGGCTAAAAGGCCAGAGTTAGTAAAACCAAACTCTTCCTCTGCCTGTGACAACAGTTTCTTGAATATTGGGTGGTTCAAGTAGGTTGCACGGACTACAAATCTCTTGCAACTGGCGCCCACTATGACTGCCATGTGTCCTGAAGGTACGTCGGTCGAGACACGGCGACGGGCAGCAGTAACGGCCATCTTCCTCCACCGTTGTAGCATTTGGCGGAGCCTGACTATGTTGCGGATTTTGCTGCACGCTGACATTTTTCTCCACAGTTTTCTTTTAGATGTTTGGATCTGTTGGATGAGAAAATGGGCTTTTGTCGAGTGGGAGAAAGGACAATATATATAAGAGTTTGAGTGGGTACGTCATACGTGCCATTAGTTTTAAAAATGTTTGCAACCAATGCCTTGCTGTTTATACAGAGTATTATTGAAGAAATTTAAATTTTATCTATACATAGACATTATACGTACAAAATATTTACACGTTCAATGTAATAATTTGATCGACAGTACAAACTGTTATTTGCCATGGATCTGAAGATTGAGCTTGAGGAAGAAGACAGGCAAACGAAGGCAATACTCAAGAGACACAAAATTCTGTTATTTTAAGAAGAAAATGATTCAGTCTTATGTCTATACAGAGTGTTTAGTTCTTTCATGGAAGAGAGGATTGGCTGCTATCTGTATAGTAGCCTTGCTGTCACATATCAGACTTATAGGCTGTTGAATCTTGACTCCAAGTTCCTTGAACAGCCCTATCATCCAAGTGACTTCTGCTGCACATGAAGCCATACTTCTGAACTCAGCCTCAGCTGAACTTCTGGACACAGTCATTTGTTTCTTTGACTTCCAAGACACCAGTGCATTTCCAAATTTGACCAAGTACCTAGTTACTGATCTCCTTGACTCTATACAAGATCCCCAATCAAAATCACAGTAGGCAACCAACTTGTCTGTACTTTCTGCTGGCATAAGTAACCCCAAGCCTGGTGCTTGTTTGATGCATCTGACTACTCTAAGAGCAGCTTCCATGTGTGACACCTTGGGACATTGCATATACTGACTTAAAACCTGCACTGCAAAAGCGATATCTGGTCTGGTCATGGTGAGATACAACGGCCTTCCAACAAGTCTTTGACAACAACTAGGACTTTTGAGCTCCTGATTACCTTCTTGTTTGTAGTTCTGAATTCTCTTGTCATACTCTACAGATGTGAGTTATTGATTCAACTCCAATGGTGTACCAGAAGGCTTTGCTCCACCTAAACCTGCTTCAGATATCAACTCAAGTGCATACTTTCTTTAACACATAAGGATCCCTTCCTTTGATCTGGAAAATTCAATTCCCAGGAAGAATTTCAATTCCCCTAAGTCCTTCATCTTGAACTTCTTCTGCAACTCTACTCTGGTGTCATAAAGTGACTTATCATTGTTCCCTGTGATCAGAAGATCATCCACATACACAAGGATGATAACTGTATCACCATTGGCTCCTCTAATGAGCAATGAATAGTCATAGTGACTCTGTTTAAACCCCATATGTAGAAGTACCTCTGTTAACTTCATATTCCACTGTCTTGGTGCTTGTTTAAGACCATATAAGGACTTGTGGAGTTTGCAAACCTTCTTAGTCTCCCCCTGGCTTTCGAACCCCTGTGGAATATGCATGTACACCTTTTCAACTAATTCACCATTAGAAATGCATTATGAACGTCCATCTGGTAAATCATCCAGTGCTTAGATGTAGCAAGACCTACAATGGACCTAACTGTTACCATTTTAACAACAGGAGAGAAGGTTTCACTGTAGTCCAGCCCTTCCTTTTGATTATAGCCTTTGGCAACTAGTCTGGCCTTGTACATAATTTGAATATCCACCTGCAACCTATAGGAGTTTTGCCACGAGGCAGATTAACTATACTCAAGGTTTTATTTTCTTCTAGGGCTGCAATCTCCAACTTCATAGCCTCTACCCATTGAGGATTAGTGACTACCCACTAAAAGACTAAGGTTCAGAACAGGCTGAATGAGCGGCCAATACTCTATTGTATGAGGGAGCAGTGTGGGAATAGCTTACATAAGCTGAGATAGGATAAGAATACTTAGCAGCTTTGGACTGCACCACATAATCTTGCATCCATATGGGAGGTTTGCTGGGCCTGGAGGATTTTCTGACCTGAGCAGGTACAACACCAAGTGAGTTAGCCACTGTACTAGGTGCTGCAACATCAAGATAAGCCTCAGCAGGAGTATCACCAGGTGTTGCACTATCTTCGAAGTTACCTTCAGGATTTGTAGGATAGTGAGGAGTAGCCACAGGAGAAGTAGCAGGAGAATGAGAAGTCTCCCTCTCAGATGTAGCACTAGCCTCATCTGAAGGAACATCAACTCCAGGAGAGGAGTCTATAGCAGAGAACCTGGGATCTGCACTAGTTGGTGAGAGCAGATCCAGTATAGGAAAAATAGTGGTACTAGAAGATAACACATGCTTGAAAGGAAGAATGTCTTCCCGGAAAACAACATTTCTGTTAACAAATAAAGACTTAGAATTCAAGTCATACAAAACATAACCCTTTTGAGATGCAAAATAGCCCAGGAAGACAGCAGGAATAGCTCTTGGCGAGAACTTATCAACAATACTGGGGCATGCTGCATAACACGGACAACCAAAAACCTTTAAGTGTTGCAGTGAATGAGGATGCAAATATAGCAACTCAAATGGTGATTTGTACCCAAGTGTTCTAGAGGGCAACCTGTTGATGAGGTAGACTGCAATGGTAACACATTCACCCCAAAACCTTAGAGGAACAACTACCTGAAACCTGAGAGACCTGGCTATGTCTAAGATTGTTCTGTGTTTTCTCTCAACAATTCCATTTTGTTGAGGGGTGTAGACACATGAACTCTGATGAAATATACCAAGAATGGAGAGCAACTGTTTAAACTCATTACTAAAGAACACACTACCATTATCAGTCCTTAAGACTTTTATGGAAGTTGAAAACATGTTCTTTATTTGAGTTAGAAAGTCTCTTAGTACAACTACAACTTCTGACTTGAAGTTGAGCAAAAATATCCAAGTGTATCTGGTATAGTCATCAACTACTGTAACAAAATACCTCTTACCACTATGAGAAGGAACTCTATATGGCCCCCAGATTCACAGTACACTAAGTCAAATGCAGATTGAGATACTAAAATACTTAGAGGAAAAGGCAGTTTAGTCTGTTTAGCAACTGGACATACAAGACAGTACTGAGTTCTTGTATTTAAGGTACTAAGAGCATCTAACTTCCTTATTACATCAATAGGAGCATGTCCTAGTCTCCTATGCCATACTACTTTAGAATCAGGTAAGTTGGCTGTGTGAGCACACTTATTGTCTAGTTTGCTGTAGAATCCTTGGATGATCCTCCTTGAAGTATGTACAAACCATGCTCTTCCTTACCAATCCCCTTCACCTGACCACTGTAGAGATCCTGAAAAATGCAGAAGTCAGGGAAGAATGCAACCGTGTATTGAAGTCCTTTGGTGAGTTGAGACACTGAGAGCAGGTCGTATTTAAAGTCTGGAATGTACAGCACATTAGAGATATTGTTATTTCTAAGTACTGAGGAGGTTCCTTTATGTGATACAGATACTACATTCCTAGTAAGTAATTGAACTTTGCACTTCTCTGAAGTCTGAACTAGGAATGGACTGACAGGAGATAAGAGCATCAAGTTGAGAAGTCATATGATTTGTGGCTCCTGTGTCTATAATCCAATTATACTTGAGATAATTGGACATTAGAGTAATTAGAGTACCTGCAGAAGCTAACTTGGTGGATGATTCTGGACCCTCTTCATTCCCTTTGGCCAGCATCTGAAGAATTTCTTGATACTGCTCTTTGATGAAGAAAGGAGCAGCATGACTATTGTTAGGAGTGGTCTGGGCAAACTGAGGCATGTAAGAATGCTAAACTTGTTGTATCCCTGATTGAGTTCCATAAGAGCCTTGTTGATTGCCTGCTTCTGCAGCATTTGGAAACATTGGACTACTCACGCTGTTTGTATACACTCCAGAGCACGGCCATTTTTTCTTTCCTTTAAAGCATGATGGATAGCCATGGACTTTGTAGCAATTCTCCTTAGTGTGACCCTTGAAATTATAGTATTCACACTAGACTTGATTCTTTCTAAACTTGAAGTTTCCACCTGCATTTGTTGGGTTCTTATTACTATGGAATACAACTTCTTCTATGCCTTCAGCATTGTGATTAGTCTGAGTGAATTAGACAGACTCCTTTGGCTCTCTTGATTAATCAGTGGAGAGTAGGCTTTGTTAATGCTAGGAATTGGAGACATCATCATAATCTAGCTCCTTGACTATGAGTAGGACTCATTCAATCCCATTATAAACTGTAGTAGCCTATGATACTCAAAGTGTTGGGCATATTTTTTGATTCAGGACATGGACAACCAGAACAGGGAGTTAATGCATCAAATTCATCCCAAAGATCTCTCAACTTGGAGAAGTAGTCAACAATAGACATGGTGCCTTGAGTGAGGTTATGAATCTCTCTATGAAGATACAGAACCTTAGATCCATTTACCTAGTCGAATCTCTCCTTTATGACCTCCCAAACCTTATGAGCATTAGAGGCATATACTACACTACTAAGTAAACCTGGCTTTAGTGCATTCATTATCCATGAGAGAAATACAACATTTACTTTCTCCCATTAGTCATGAAGTTCAGGTACAAATTTAGACTTAGGAAATCGACCATCTACAAAGCCTAGCTTGATCTTCCCTAATAGACCAATCCTCATAGACCTACTCCATATTGCGTAGTTATCTGAACCATTAAGTTGAAGATAAATCAGAGTACTAGCTGGAGTGTCTGTTGCTTGAAGGAAGAGTGGATGATTGTGGTCAATTGATGGAAACAGAGTTGTGACAACGGCAGGATTGAAATTACCAAAGGTTGTAGTTGCTGGAAATAAAGTTTCGCCTAACATTTCTTCTCCAATCGCCATTTTCAGCTGCTTCTCAAGAGTAAACCCTAGCCTTTCAGCTATACGCTACAATTGGACAATTTACCACAGAATTGTGAAATTGAAGTAACGAGAGTAAGGCTAGCTTGTTGTCACGACCATGAAACAGACCCGGTCGTGATGGCGCCTATCGTGAAACTGGGTCAGCCGACACAAACCTCAAAACCAACCCAACAATCAAAATAAGTAATTTAAAAGTCATTAATAAGCTGAAAACCCGAAATGTAAGGTAGCATAGAACAGTGCAAAAACAAAACACAGCCCGACATCGGGGTGTCACTAGTCATGAGCAACTAGAACTCGTCTAGAAATACGAAAAGACAACATAGTCTGAAACAAACTAATACAAATTAGAATAAAGATAGGAAGGAGAAGCACTGGGCTGCGAATGCCAAGCAGCTACCTAGTCAACTCCGAAAGCCTGCTGGAAGACAAATCAGCACTCGCTAGCGTGACCCGAGACTCCTGGATCTGCACACAGGGTGCAGGGAGTAATGTGAGTACGCCAACTCAGTAAGTAATAAAAGTAAAGGCAGCTAAGCAGTAAGAAAATACGTAAACCACAGCATAACACTACAGCAAAACAGTATAAGTCCAGAACAATGCAGTAAAGCAGTAAAACTCGTAAAAACATCTCAGTTCAGTAAAACCTTTTAAAACACTTTTCAATAGTTTCAAACGAGTGATGAAAGCGGTGAGTAAAAGTATAAAAACGTAAAACAACCCCTCGAGCAAAACATGTACCATAACCGCCCCTCGGGCAAAATATCAATAGAACCAGCCCCTCGGGCTATCTCACAATCACTCGTATCAGCCCCTTGGGCAATAACATGAAACAACAACAGCCCCTCTGGCAATATCAGATCTCATACTGGGTACCCGCGCTCACTGGGGGTGTACAGACTCTTGGAGGGGCTCCTACAACCCAAGCGCTATGACAAGCCATCTCGTGGCATAATCAAACAGGCCCTCGACCTCATAACAATCACAAGCCACCTCGTGGCTTAATAAATCAGGCCCTCAGCCTCTCATATATCACAAATCAGTACCACATGCTGCGGCGCGCA